GGACTGATTGATCTGCTAGGGCAGAAAGTATTCCTGGTTTGAATTTCTAACTAGTCAGGGTGGCTATAGCCTACTAAGATTCTGAGAATCTTCCTCACTAGCGAAAAAAAGTACAGACAAAGGGAAACCTACCGACACGATCGATATGCTTTCGATCGTGTCCGGGGTCAAAGCACCTTCGACGTTCTTCGCACGAGACTTCCGAACCAACTTGTTCGTGGACATCTGCACGAAAATGGGCCATCGACGTTACTGTAATCGCTCAGGCATTTGCATCGCGAATACTAAGAACGTCGTCGATCTTCCTTTAATGATTAGAAACGTATCATGCAATTCTAGCTGACTGTGTTGTTACATTATATCAATAAAGAATTGGAGAGAACCACTTAGTAACGTGTACCGTTGATTAAAGCGAAGTTCAGATTTAACCAAATTCCAGAATGATTTAGTAAATTCAGATATCAAAGAGGTATTCCACTACAGTAACGAAATTTATTTATATAACTGAGTGGACTTTAATTAGAAGCACATTGTATAGCAACGCACTTAATTATCTTATTGGTATGAAGACCGTGTTGTTACTATGAACTCACCTGAGGCGTCTGTATATTTTTGTTCTTGTCGACGATGGGAATGTTATCAAGCGGTTGCCTGAACCCAATATTCTTGTTTTTGTTGTCCAACTTCTTTTTATTATTGTTAGACGTGCTGAATCGTTTCCACGAGAGCGCGTTTATGAACAACGAGTGTTTCTTCAGATTTTTCTCGAGGGCGTTCTTTTCTGAGATGATCCTCGCGTTATCGTTGTTGTTCAGGTTGATGTTGTTGTTCTGCAATGAGTTATTGTTCGTAGGGGGATGATTCGTGGGAGCCACCGCGACGAGGCCGCTCTTGTTCTCGCGATTCTTCGCGTTGTTCAATTGTTCATAGTTGAAATTGTTCAACGTAAAGTCGGTGGGGTGTTGGTGACCCGTTGGCGGGTACACGGACTCGCGCCTGTCACGCGGGCTGAACGACAGCACGGTACCCATGCTGCTGGTTCTCGTTTCCTGTTGCTGTTGTTGTTGCGAGGGTGCCTGGGGCTGTTGTTGCGATTGCTGCTGCTGCAACGACGACTGCTGCGTCTGCGTCGCTTGGTGACTGGGTTGGCGGCTCAAGTGTTGGCCCTCGCGTTGAGGTCCGGGATTCTGGCTTGGAGGCCCCGGGTTAGAAAAATCAGCAGGGCTCGTTGACTGACTATCCGTAGTGCGCCGCCCGGAGGTCGGCGATCCCGGGTTCGGATCCTGTTGACCTGCTCTCGGAACTCGTTGAGTAGGGCTTCGGTTGTGATTTCCGGGGTTCTGGCTCGGGGGACCCGGATTAGCCGAACCAGCAGGGCTCGTTGACCGGCTATCCGTATTGTGCCGCCCGAGGGCCCGCGATGCTGGATTCTGATCCTGTTGGTGTGTTCTCGGAACTCGTTGAACAGTGTTTCGGTTGTGATTTCCGGGGTTATGAGCCGGATTGTCCCTATACTGTGGAATTGGCGAGGCCTCCGGGTTCTCGGCGGTTCCGGGATTATGAGTCTCCTGGTCCGGGTTCTGGACCTGGTGACCCGGGTTATGGGTCTGTTGACCCGGGTTCTGGACCTGCTGACCTGGGTTGTGGGTCTGCTGACCTGGGTTCTGGACCTGGTAACCCGGGTTATGAGTCTGTTGACCCGGGTTCTGGGCCTGGTGAGCCGGGTTGTGGGTCTGCTGACCTGAGTTCTGGACCTGGTGACCCGGGTTATGGGTCTGTTGACCGGAATCGTGGGACTGCTGAGACGTAGTGGGCGGAGGTCTCGGAGGTCTGAGAGTGGTAACACGATGCGGGGGTGGCGGGGGTGCTCGAGGAACCGAGGACTCCCTCGAGGGTCCCGTCAGCGGGGTCGCATCCCCTGGCTCGATGGCCTCCTCCACGACGGGACCCACCACCTCGCTCAGCCGACCTCCCAGCCTGCTGACTTCTACCTGCGACCTGTTCGACCCTTTACTTCCCCCTTTATGTTCTCTCTCTTTTAAATTTTCTTCCGGTGTTCTCTACCGCCTACTCCTCTTCTATTTCTTCTCTACCGTCACTCGAACGTCAACGCGCACCCTTCCTCTCCGAGGAAAACGTAATACGTAACGGGGTGTAAGCGCGATCGATAAACCAACAAGTTCACCAAAAAAATCCTTTCGCTCGGCGCACACTCTTTTCCCGTTCGGTTCGCGGGTCCGCGAGATACTTCACTCCTCGATCGTCACGAGGGAAAATGTCGTCGATGCGTGGAGAAGATGTCGGTCGCGACGTGCAAAATGGCGAGCGATCGATGCCTCGGCGCCCTCCGCCTCTCGGAGGGAGGATCGACCAGATGAACGAAAACCTCACGCGTATTCGCCTAAACGCGCTTAGGGTGCCTTTCTTCCCTCTCGCGAACAAGGGGGTGCACACTCGACGCACTCTCCGCACTTCAAAAACCCACTTCCCTTCGTTCCACGCGCGGCCCTCGTGGATTGGACGAATCTATCCTGTCCGATCTGAAGCCAACCGTGAACAACAATCAACCCACCAGCGAATCCGCTATTCGTCACCCTCGGATCATCTGTTTATCGAAACTCGATCACTTCTGAAGATCCTGTACTCAAGTCCTCTCTTCCTTTAACTGAACGTTCGTTAAGTGTCACGATCGTCGATGGTTGCACACGCTCGCGAAACACGATTAACGTCAAACAACGTGCGTGCTGTCAGAGCTGGAGTTGGAAAGGAAACAGTGTCGCGACGGGCTCCGGTTCGTGTCTGCTGCACCCGTGTTTCGCCGACGTCGCCGTCGCCGTCCTCGTCCTCGTCGTCGACGTCGCTCCGTTCGTATCGCTCGTTCGCCGCCAGTCACTCGGCGACCAACCAACTCTAAGCTCGCCCCATCCCCGTTATCGTTGCGCGCGCAGTCGTTCGATAAACGCGCTACGTCGATTCCGCCGAGGGTGGAAAGACGAAGAAACCCGCGAACGAGGGAAGTGCCACCAAGAAGGATGGAGAGAATACACGGAGGGCTCCCTCCTTCGTAGGGCGAAGAACGGACCCGCGAACCTGAAACCTGAAAGAGATGAGGCTAGCCAGCCACGCTGCACACGCCCAAACCTTTCTTTCGTTATCGTCGGCGCCACGCACACCTCCTTGCGAATTCACGTCCCCTTTCCCCTGACCTCGCTCCAGCAACCCCGAAGCAACCCTCGCGCGAATGTTTGGCCGGAAGCGACCGCGAGACCTGAACGTAGGTCGAGATTCTAGCTCGCGAGTAGGGGTTGCGTCCCGCTATGCGGTTTTTGACTCGGCCACCCTCGCCTACGAAATATCTCTCTTCTAGCCTCGCTTCTTATTTGGTCAAGCGTCTTGAAAGTAGGTTGGAACTGCACTGATCGATGTTTGGCCTAGCAGAATCACGCTAATAATATTTTCCGAGAAATCGATACTATCCGTTTACCAATTTGATACTTATCGATGCACATTTATCATAAATTATTGACGACGATGAGAGTATTTCGTCTAAAAATGTTGACCTTTGTCTAAACTTGATTAACTACGTCCATTCGACGTTGCCAATAATCCAGTTTAACAGTTGGACTTCTTATCAGAAAGTAAATACTATATTTTATCTGTTCAGAGCTCGGAATCATGCTCAATGTTCTCTCCAGAAACAACGGTATATTCAATCTGTTTCAAGTGTATTCAGGTACACTGTCAGGAATCGTACGCGAGACAATATCTCTTGAATGCATTATGTCTCCTCCGAAGTGACAATTCACGACAGCTTAATAATTCCACGAACATGTACAGGTATGAAGCATGAAAACTCCGTTGTTCCAAGAAGCACAATATCAGCGTTATTTTACACTGGGAAACTACACTGGTCAAGAGACAACTATAAATTTGATACATGTACACTTGTAAATGTTATATACCAAAAATTATAACAAAATGGAGATGTAGGAAATATGAAGAATTCATGATTTAAATAAAAATTCATCAAATAATCCAATTCCATACAATTCATCCCTTCATCCAATGCCATCGAAATTCCGCTAAAACTGTTGTCAATTACTAAGTAAATAATATCACAATTTTCCTGGATTCGTGGAAACACGATTCCGCGAATTTCACGTGCTTTGATTAGCACTTTTTAATTAACGCATTCTTGGAGCCCGGAGTTCCTCGTAACTTCAATTCTGCACGAGAATAATCGACACGTGGATGATGTATATAGTCCTCAAATCCTCGTTTAATACTATTATTTTCAGATAAAACATGATTATCAAGCCTTGTGTGGGTAGCTTGACGATTAAAGCTTGTCAGCTAAGGTGAAAAACGATCGGGGTTAGTTCTATCGATTAACGACGCACTAATTAACGTTTCATTTAACAATCAGGTGAATTGTCTCTGGCTATAGGAGAAGGTAGCATTTTTTAATGGATTAATGGAAAAATTAAGGCCAAATTCTGTGATCAAACATTACACGTATAATTGTATATAATAAAACAAATGCGAACAGAATATCAATTACAGCTTACATGTATTCTTTCCTAACGTCTTCTATCAGAAATATATACTATTTTCTATATTCCTGTCAATCGTTCGAAAATATTATTAAAAATAGAATATGTATTATATTTTGGTATCCGATTATGGAAAATATAAGGAAATACCGAGGAATCGATGAGACATTCACGGAGCTCAGCTGTGAAATGCATCGCGTTCGTGACCGGTCGTCGAGAAGAGAATAGAAAGGTAGAAGGTCTTATTAAAAGATGAATCCATAGAGACACGATGCCAGGAACGCGTATTGATCTCTCCGGAGCACGTTTAAAGGCACCTTCGACGCGGGGCAAGTTATTTCGGTTTCACTCGTATCGAAAGATTTCTTTTTGATGGATTATTTAATCGCTTCTTCGTTCACGAAATCTCGTTCCACTTTTCCTTCAAAGCTCAGACGAAACTATTACAAGGTTGTTGGCTTCGGAGGTCGAAATTTGAACGGGGCTCGCGATTCTTACCAGGTCGACGCGTTAAAGATGCACGCGCTTCTTCAAGCCTTGGATAGTTTCGTGGCACACGCTCATACCGTTAATCCAACACGCGTTCATCATTCAGGAAGTTCTCCGCGGTATTAAAGCGAGCGTGTCGTTCCGCGTCTCGAGCACTGCGGACGATTGCTCGAAATGGGAAATAAAATAACTTGGCATCACGAGAAAGTACATTTTTCATTACTGAGATACATATTCTTCATTAATAATTACAAGAAAATCTAGCTACAGATTGCTAATGAATTTAGAATACTACGTATCCATTCAAATGATATGCAAATTTTTGTACGAAGTATTCATTCGACATAAAATGCATTTTACCAAAGCACAGTCACGAAACTTTAATATTTGCAAAAGCTATTAAGAAGTTATGCAAAGCTCCTGGATGTAAATAATTTTCTATGAGAATATTCAAACAAGTTGAAGAGTCTGGTTGATCCTTGATGAAAGGCGACGAAGCGAAGCTGGAGGCGCGGGCGGTGTAAGAAATAGGAAAAGCTCGTGGGTAGCTCTCGAGGAGAAGGTAAACAGATCGACCGTGGCGCGTGGAAATGGATTCACCGGGATCTCTCGGCTTTAAAGGATTTCCCAGGCTGGCTGACCCGAATGGATCTACCGAGGCTTCGGATACACGTATTCCATTAATACGGAATCGTCGCGACGTCTCAACCTGAACTAACTCATATCATTAATTAATTCACTTAAAACGATTACAAATTGTAATACTAATTTCCAAGTTGCGATTGTAAGATTCTAATAAAAGGAATAATAGTAAATTGCTCAGCAATTGTTTATGACAGTGAATCCAATTCAGTCTTCTCTGGATTCACATTTAAGGATGTATTGGCTATACAATCAATCCCAAAAGTTTATGGAAAAATCGAAAATTTTTTTTTGTTGTTTATTATTAGCAATGTTCTTCCGACGTCTGATTTATTTTTAAAAAATGCGTTTCTAAAGTGCATAAACTTTTGGGATTGACTGTATAGCCAATACATCCTTAATTATACAATTCTAATTCTAAATTCTGTTCTGATAATTGTATAAAAGATAAAGGAGTAAGGTTGTGTAATGGTTGAATATGTAACGCGACACGTAATGATTGTCCGAAATATCGAGGTAATCGCTCGAGGACGAAGCTCTGGCTGGTTGCGTGCCAGCGAGTAGTACAGCCCGCGACGGGTCAGACACGATACGGGAAACCCCTCCAATTAATTAAGCGGCGACCGCAGCGTGGGAGGCAGTTCCCGAAGAAAAGACATCGCTACTTCTTTCGCGTGGGAGGCACTTTTAAACAAACAGCCAACGAGGCAACACGAGTTATCCATTTAATTTGGACTGGCCTTAGAAATCCTTTCGCTTGGCGACCCGCGCCAAAAAGTTCCACGATTGAACAAGAAGAAAACGAGCGCGCCGGCTGTATGTGCCCAGCGTGAAATTGCTTCTGGCATCCGACGAAGAAAAATGAATTTTAAAGTCTGGTTTTACGAGCGTACCGTAGCTGAGTCGTTCTCGTGAAAGAAATCAATTTGTCCGACAGAAGACACAACTGATAATTGTAATTATTTTCCCAGGTTTAACTTCGGTGATCTTTTTAGATTGTGTAACACGATTCTAATTATGTTCTATCTGTATCGAATTCATTTACTTGATTACCTCTTTTAATTTATGCAACAAAGTATTAACGTATCCTGAGAATCTTTTCACTTTGGTCAACTTAGAAAGATCGTCACGCATAATATTATAAGAAAAGACCTGTATTATTTATAATATATTTAATCAGTTATGGTTATAAATTAGTCGCGGAGATAGGCCGCAAAGTGTCTCACAATGAACGTCAGAGGCGATAATAGAAAATGGGCAAAAAAAATTGTAATAAAAGAGGGGCCAAGCAAAGGCAAAGGGATGGACGGGGGCGTGTTAGCGTCTGATCGCGTGGTCGATGTATAAAAGGGCCGCTAACGAAGCTCTGATTGCAGGCCGACCGGGTTTCGATTGGACCGTGATAAAAAGTCGGCGAGCAAGGTGTCCGAGCGAACGCAGGCCGGCCTCTGCAAAAGAGTACTAAAAATAATAATGCCCGCGCCGCGTTGGCGTGAAACCGCGGCCTCTCCGTTTCTCTATCGATGTGACCCCGATATTATCCCGCGCCTCTAGAAAAAACAATCCCCGCCATTTTTATTCTTCGCAATAAACTACCAACGCCCGCGCAACGTAACGATTAATGCCAGCAACGTTTAATTCCATTCTGGACTCTCAAATGCGAATCGAAAATGAATGAGCGTTTCGCGTATCGATGCGAGGTAGGGGAGTTGCTTATGGGAGGCAGTTGGCGAAACGCGTTTTATTTTGGTCTATAAAAAAAGATGCAACGCAGGATGGCTATTTATAAAAGCCAGGGCACGTAAACGTTCCATTTTTCCCGGGTCGCTTTGAAAGAAGCGCAGTCCCAAGGATATCGTACGCTCCGCTACCTAAGGAAAACGTGTCATCTAGGGTAGAAAGTTCGCCGCGAGAATTACTTACCGGTGATGATACCGTGGAAGCTAAACTGCCCGAGGGACGGTGACGTGCACCGTCGAAAACGGCAAATTAATGGAACGATTAATAAAGAAACTCGAAACTGGGCTGAGCGGAAATTTTCCCTACAGATTCTCAACAGGGGAGATTGGTCTATTATAGCCGAGAGTACATAAAGGAACTTTCTCTTTTTACGAAACCTTTGGGAATGCGATACTTTTACTATGTTCGTAAATCTCCTAACTTTAACGACCTGTTAGCGTCCTCGTAAACTTCTTTTTTTATTCGAAGAGTCAACCTACTTAGCAAGTTGAAACACACAGAGTAAAAATATTTTTTAATCATTCTATAAATAATTTTATCGCTCGGAGCTATTATCAAATTAATCATAAAAAGTTTGAGAGAAATCGGATACCCCGTTTGACTGAGGATTTTGTGAAAAGTTTATTCTTTAAAAGAAGACCTTGGCGTTCCGAAACAGCTGACTCGTTGGAAAAAACGGGTAAGCCAGACAGACACAGCGAGGAATATCATCCCCTTTAGAAGGGCTCCAGACAGACGAACCCTCCAGGCAGCAGCCCTCTACCCCTTTCCTCCGGGCGACCGTCCCATCGCCATAGCAACCCCTTGGATTCAGCAGCCAGAGCCTAACCAACCGATTTGCTCACCCCCGCGCTCGGACCTGTTCGTTATTCGAATATTTGCATCAAACATCCCCTTTTTCTATCTCGTTTTTTTTATTTAACGCACTCGGAACCGGACAATGCTTTGTTGTCGACGATGTGTATATATGCATGTATCAGAGTTGCAGAAGCGGTTTTAATTTCCTTTTCATTCTCACTATTGGGTGGGTGTTACTGATTGTGTACTGATTGTAAACGAGGAGCTCCTATTTCTATCTCTAGAATTGCTGCACTTATGAAAGGTGTTTGGATTAGATATTTGTCTCAATGTTACAGATAAACTGAGATATAACTGAAACAATTGTTTCAGCCTCTAAATAGAGTGATACCTGCCTTTAATTGTAACATAATGCATAAGCTGCTTTTTTAGATATTTATAAATATGCTTACATTCGAACGTGATTACTTACATTTTTCTTTTAAAGAGAAAGTTTGTAATTCTAGTTTCTCTAAAGTCACAATGCAATGCATTGAGAAAAGATTCGATGGCGATTACAGAAACCAGCGTTTTAGTACCAGAGAATGCCGTTTTCATCGCGAATCAGCGAGTCGAATGATGGACTGACAATTTTCGAAATTGCAGCCACTTTTTTTCGCCGACCACTAGAATAGCCTACGTCACGAACCTCTATCCTTTTAAGATCACGAACGCCTCTGCACTTCCGTCAGTCGCCCATCGTTTCTTTCGTTAGACGTTACTCCAACCGAGAAAGTATGCTCTTCCTCTCAAGAGTGCTTGCGTTAATCGGGTTTACAGCTTTAATCTCCGGCCAGGATACGAAAACTGTGTTTCCGTTCCCCGGAAATGGTTCCAGTTCCGGGTACGCGCTAGAGAAAGCCGAATCCGTCTTTGAACCGGAAGTAATGCGCACCCCGCAGCCCCTTGCTCGTCTTCCGACTATGCCCGTCAATTATTTTCTCTCCGGTAACGTATCGTTATACACTCAGTGGGAAAGTGATACAACTTATATTTTTAAGGAAAAATGAAAAACTGTTTGTGAATATAATCGGTTAATTAAATTTGTGAACAAGGAAAGCAATGTTCCTTTTATTGATAACATTATAAAGATAAGTAAATGCGATTTACGTAATCGGTCAAGAATTCCCATGTTCGAAAATTAAATTTTATAGTTGTGTCGCTTTTCCTATGAGTGACAATATTTTCTTAGCCCAGCGATGAGGAAGAGTCCTAACTCTAGAGTTTTTAGCGCCACAAAGGACGTTCATTCATCACAGGAGCGATGGTACTGTACCACCACCTTACGTTTACGATCATCCGCATTACAATTATCCCATGGCGCACTCGATCGACTATCCAGTCGCTCCGTCCATGAAACCTTTTGTAATCGTCAGTTTCATCGGGCTGCTGCTACTCTTTGCCATTATTCAGAATACACTTGCGAGTGTGAAGAGGAGAGAGCTTCTGACAGACGTCCTCTCGGCTAGGAAGAAGAGGGAACTTTACACTGCATACGATACTAATTCTGTTGTAAATCATCTTTCAAATAATATTCTTTATCCATTAGTATGTTCATAAGTCAATTTCTCAAGAAGCAAATTTACATTATTAATAATGTGGTAAATCAATGAATATTTGAAACAGTATTCTTTATCCGTACGATAACCAATTAATTTCTTGAAAAGAGAATTTCATAATGAATAATTTCATATGAAATGAGATATAGACAGTTGAATATTATTATTATGTTTTCTAAGTATGCCATTCGGCGTTTTCAGACGTCGGAACAGGAAGACGTTCTGGACGAAGACGCGAGAGTACGGTGCATACAGAGGACAGTTTGCCTGGAGAATCGGAAGCTAGTGAAAGCGTTCGGAGCTACCGGGAAGATACTGGCCAAGTACTTAACGTGAGTTCTTATTGCTTCCCCGGTTTCCGCTTACGACGCAGCACAGAAATTTAATATTCCCCAAGCGTCGTGGAATCTCTGTAGCAGTTCTCGAAACCCGATTTGCATCTCTCGCGAGGAATATTAAAGACCTCTCGCGGAGTTTCGGGCGTTTTCTGAATAAATAAGATTTGAGCATTTTCAGACGTGGCGTGGAAAGATCATTGAAACCGGGTTCCGGTTGGGATCGGCTGGTGAGAGACGCGGGTGAGGCTGGTATTCGTGGTGAGGAATGCGAGCTACTTTATAGAGATTGTGATGAAGAAATTTTTTCGAAGGACGATCATCGAGATTAGAATAAAATGTAAAAATATAAATGAATAAAGTTTGTTGTCAAGGACTTTAGCTTTCTTTTTTACTTTATGGAATGACAAATCGTTGGAGGTACGAAATGATTGTTGATGATTGTGAGACGAAGTCGGAGGGGCAAGCGGCTAAAGAATAAAAAAGCGGGCAGTATTAATGACTATTAATTTTAATTACAATATGCTGTGTTGTGTTTTTTTGTTCTTTATCTGCTACAAACATCGACATCTAGCCTGAACTATTTTAGATAGCAGTCCGCTCTCTATACACGCTCCATTTATACTCACTCCCTCTCTCTCTCTTTTTCTCGCTATATCTCGTTCTCTCTCGTCGTCAGAATTATAAAAAAATATCAAATCACGAACAGAACGAAGATAAACGGCCGCACATACTGTACTTCTTTCCTTTTGTTAATCTTAAACGTCTGTTACGCATTCCCGTTCGTTAATTCTGTCACTTTTTCGCCACCTGTCATCGTATCCCACTTCTGTCGTTTACGATCCCCGTTTCCCTCCCTTGCGTCACAACTAATTATACAGTAACGCTATTACCATTATTATCGTTATATAACATTAAGGCATTACATATTTATAAATTCTTCGTGTGTTCACTCGCCACTATACAGCAATACCATGTTAAACTCGTAAACTTATGCTTAAATAGACGTGAGATCGCTCGTTGCAATAGTCCAGGCTTTGAAGGAAAAAAACACAAGAGAAAAGAACTTCTGAGTGAAAGTACGTTCGCACAGCCGGTCCGGAAATGGTCTCGGTTCACGTTTATTCTCTCATCTTCTTATGAGAATTTTTCCTGAAAATCGAACTCTAAATTCAGGTCGAGAATGCCTTTTACTTTTATCGCCAGAGAACAAATCCAAAGACCATCCAGGTGCCGGATGCGCTCGTACTGTTATGACTTTCCGCCTCTTTCTCCTATTCTCATACATCCATCACATACACTCGTTCATTGCAAGACGCAAACGCACACGCTCGCAATCAGTAATCGTTTTCTCTTCTCGCACTTGCACGCACGCAGCTTAGAAGGGCCCTGCTAATTGTCGTCATCAATAAATTAGACATTTTGTCGAGGCAACGTAGTTTTGCACAGGCAGGCGGCAGGCAGTTCACGAAAAAATATCTCTCAACCGTTCACTCTTTAGCAATTTTCTCCGCGACGGAAGCGAATCGCAACTGTTCCTGGCATTTCGTTTTCGCTCACACGATCGATCGACCGATCGGATTATCGGCTCCTACCCGAAAGTGGTAGTGAAAAAGCGTATTAAAAAGTCAAACTTAAACCATTAAAATAAGTTGATCGAGTTGATTCGATCGCGTCGTTGGGTCGACTGATCCCTTGATTAGTACTTATGAATTAAAATCAATTGAACGAGTTAGCTTGCGACTAATAAAAAATATTATTCCTTGAAAATAAATAAATTCAGAATTCCAGAAGGTCCCTTAAATTGGGCATCGTTCAACGTATACAAAAACGGAAGGAATTATAATTTCCTTTGACAAAAAAGAAAATGAAAGAATTACATAGTCATGTTAGATTATACTAAAAAACAAAAGTCGAGACTTTTATTACAAATGAGGAATCAAATAGAGCATGACGTGTAATGAGAATTAATTAGAATAAGAGAAAGCCCGTTGAAGTTGAACACAAGAGCACACGTGCCGAGATAAAAACACGTTTCATTGCTTTTTACTTTTACTTTATTCGCTGCGATTCATTCAATTGTCAATGCGATTTAAACTAATAGGAAATATCCGAGGCATTGCGGAAGCTTCGCCGCTTGAACGAAAAATAAAATAAAGAGACGACGAAGTCATCCAACCGTGTTTCGATCCAATGCAGCCGATCGATCAATCGTGTCTTCGAATCGGACCTTTTTTTCTACCGCACAAAGAACAGAATGCACAATTATGCCGACTAACATGGTATAATCGATTAATGAATTAAACTATCGAGCCGATGCAATAATATTAATATATATTAATCATTAATTAATAATATATACAACATTCTAAACGCTATTTCCGTCTCTGTTCTTTCTCAACACGCGCACGAAGAAAATATCCTGTCTGGCTTATACAAAATAGTTCATAGACAACGGGATACAGCGAATCGGAGGGCTCACGAAAAAAAATTCTTCTTTGCGCGTGTACATTTTACCTACCGCCTTTACTTCCTCGTTTCTTTCACTTTTTTTTTCTCAAAATGCGTTCGCATCTCTCGCAAGTTCAATCATTTACACATGTAGTTTATTCTGTTTTGCTTCCATCCGGAGACACATTCGTGCAGGCGTCCACCTGGCGCACGAGAACGACCGTTTTATTACTTTATTACAAGCATTCATTCTTTTAACGAACGTGCACGTTCTCATCCGCGATGCGGACGCCGAGTTGCGATGATAGAAAATCATCTAACATGCGCTGATCTCGCCTGGCTATAGTAATTTCGGAAAATGGACTTTCCTCGTCCACACGGCGCTCGTATGTATCTCTTCCTCATCTTTTCCTTTATCCATCTTATTCGTGTCAATTAATGATTTGTTCTCTCCCCTTGCCCTGTTCTCCTGTTTCATGGCTCGTTCGCCTCGGAGAATCAAGTAAAGGTAAGATAAAGGCGAAACGTTGCTTTCTAACAGCGATTTTTCTTTTGGGTGTGCGTATTTGAGGACCGCAAGACGCAGTGGCTCTGCCGATTCTTCATCGAGAAATCGTGCGTGTCTTTGAGAACGGCTTTGATAATCGGACTCTCCTCGATCATGGTCGTGGAATAAATAGAAATCGGTGATGAAAAAAGCATGGCCTGTATATCTTTATGTAAAATTGTGTATGACTGGAAAAAAGCAACGATCGTGAACCAGACAATCTGGAAGACGTTCTCGGGGAGGATGAACAACGATGCGTGGTATCAGCAAAGAGAAACCTCATTCTTGTCTCGGAGAATATGAAAGAAGAACGAAAATCTTGTGTCATTACCGTCACGAACAAAAATAAACTATTGGAGCGCTGTTTTCATCGACAATTCTTGCCTCTGCGTTTTTGTATGCGGATAGAACTCTTTAAATCTCGCATTCGCTTCGTTCTTACGGTCGTAGATACAATCACTACCCCACAATACATTCATTGTCGTACTGATAGATATTATTATTATCATTAATATAATTATACCCTATGTACAAATCGACATCGCCGATAACCCGGCATATTATCATTAAACTTAAGCGACAAACGTAAGATTAAAGAGTTACTAGGGACCAGTCATAATTTGTCATGCTAATAGTATAGGTAGCAACACGCCCGATATAATCGCTTTTTCTTTTACTATCATCAGTATCATATATGCATTCTTCATCACCGGCGTCATCATCGTGATCAGGACTATACGATACTTGCCGAAATCGTCGTAATTTGCATCGTGTAATAACGCACATGTTGAAGCACTCTCGCACACATTGACATCGCGGCGGTTATTTACTCCCACTATTTCTGTCCTTCAGACAGTTTTAATTCGTGATTGGAATTTTTAGTCAGCCATACGGCACTCGCCTTAAACGTTCACAACTACGTACACCTAAATATTCACAGTTCTATCTTCTTCTCCGTTATGATCTTTAATTACTTGAACCGTAATTCATTTTCATGTACGCGATAAAGTTCCGTTTAAGCTCCGTCCATCGAAACTTGTAATTTCTTGTCGTGACGAAAATCCTTTTTCCTTAAACTAAACGAAGAAATTGAAAACGAAGAGCATTTAAATTCGGAGGCGTGTTACTTGATGAAAAGGAAAATCGTGTACATATATATGTATGTATACATATATATATTTTTTTATCTCGAAGTTCTCTTTCGTTTCGTTCGTGGACAGTTCCACGAATCGTGCACATCGTTATACTTCTTCATTAGACCTAGCATCCTTAGAAAATACTTGAAAAATGAGTCTATTGGAAGGTTACTGTCCGATCGTCTGGATTTCATCACTGTACATACACACATCATTTCGTCTTCTTTTACCGAATAGTCTGTTCGCATGAACAACAATTGTCCCGCGTCAAGTCTTCCTGTCGTGGTATCCGTCGACTTCGTCCTTCGAATCCTCTCCAATGCGCGCATTGTTTCTTTGTCCATGGTATCAGTATCGTATTCGATCGCACAGTGTGGCCGGACTAGAACGAGCCCGCTACCCATCTCTCGATTAATAATCAGAATGTGATCCGTGTAATAAGCCATCAGGCTCGACTAAGTCTCTAATTTTTTTGTAATTTTTTTCATTTTTTACTACTGGCCAACCGTGTCTGAAGCGCAGTTGTTTCATTTCTTAGTAATTTCAGCTTTCCACCAAGGCGTGTATTCTTGCCCATTCGTGCAGTTTGGTCATCTTTTCGTCACAAAGAACGTTTACTTCTGTTCATTTTTTTGTTAACAACGCGACAACTTATATCATTAGAAATAAAAATAAAAAATGACAAACAAAAGAAAATTAAAAAGGTAACCGCGCCGAATGACGTGCGCCGAAGCTACCGAAAACCTAGGCGTCGCGCGCCATTTTCGTTTTTTTCATTTTATTATTAACAATCAATAAAAACTCCATTTCACGATATTAATCGTATAGACACGTTAATAACACAAGACAACAAATATATTACCTAAATAATTCTCTAGTCTCGATAAGCGGCACGCATGTGCATCCGCGTTTCGTTTGTCCTTCTTTTCTTCTTCTTCTTTCGTCGCCCGATTGCGTACCGGAGACAAACGACGATTAATAACGATTAGTGTTCTGTTTGTGTTCTTAACAAACGTCTATGTTTTTAACAAACGATAATGACAACGATGATGAGGAGTAGGAGGATGACGAAGACGATGACGACGAAGAAGACGATGACGACGGCGAAGACGAGGACGAAAATCGTGCTCGGCTTATCCTCTTTCGATTTATCCTGACACGGATAGAAACACCATGGGTCGTAGAAGCGGCTTATGGGCTGATGTGCTACTCGGTTGCTTGCCAAGGGGTAGCGGGCATTCCCTTGTGCGTCGCGGTAGTAACATTTTAACAGTAGCGCGGGGCTGGTGTTCTTCACAGTTGTAATTGTGTTTATGTTGTCTGTCACGGTGCTACCACTCGGTAGTTACCTCCTGTCGCGATACAGGAGATAGGTCTTCACTGCCAACGGTAGACTTAACGCATTCACTTTCTCTTCTATCTTGTCCTTGCCAATACGTTTCCGGATCACTCTCCGGCAAAGATCCATCAGTGGCAGGGGTTCGGCTGTAATTATTTTGATTACACGTTAATTCCTACTGCGTTTCATGGACTACATAATTTCGAGGCTTGTGTTGAGACTTTTACAAATACTTACGATCTAGTCCACCGATGTATTTCATTGTAATCTCGCAATGTCCCCAAACTGCGGATACAATGGGATGCAATTTCTTGCCTTTAAGACCTTTGAACGCGATTCCAAGGTACTGGCCGTCGACGACGAAAGCTAACGTTCCCTCATCCATATCCAGAACAACTACGAACGTAAGGGACCAAAATAATTAATAAACAAAATTCTTCGGAATAAATAAGATTTTTTAACAAGTTACGCGACCGATGCTCACCGAGGAATTTGTCAGGAACGATAAACGTCTCGTCGGGTTTGAGAAGTGCCGGATACGTGATACCAGCGTTGTTCTTCGAATCATGTAATAGCTTGTTTCTACCCAAATCCCAACCCCAGCTCTGTTCATTGTTGCCTACCAGGCTCTGATATCCAACGCTGTGCAGAGGTGCTTCCGCCGTCGCGACGCCCACGACGGCGTGCGTACCTCTCTGCCTCGTGCTCCAGAACAACTCCCACACGTGCATGCCTTTCGTGTAACCGACTCTCCCCCTTATGCAGTCTGTACTTTGTGCTACAGGGTGCCGGTGGAACGTTAACTTATCATCGTCCTAAAATCATCGAATCAACAATACATTTAATGACGTGCTAAAAATTATATTGACAGGAGTAAGAGATAACGTTTGTTATTATCGATCTTGTTGTTCTCGCTTATCGGATCGAAATGCACACCTTGACAAATATGTTGAGGCTACGGTCGTTGGCGTTCCAGCTGTGATGTATCTGCGTCTCCCGCGAGGCGGGTGGCATGTCGAGCAGAACATCGAGCCGTGGCGGTCTCGCGAAGTGTTGCGCCAGCTCTCTTGGTACCACTGGTTTGTACGCTACGACGCCGCCACCCCCGACACCGACTCCACCGACAGCTCCAGATGTAGCCTCGCGTGTCACGCTTTTCACGCCGCCTATTCCTGAAAAGGCATTTTCCATTACAAACACGCACTACCTTGCACATATTTCTACTTTAATTATATTGTAAGACTTATTTATCGATTATTAAATGAATCCCTTTCTTATCTTTAATTTGTTTACGTGAATTGTATGTGAATATATTAATGAAAGGATTTCAAGAGTTGAGAAAGGATAAAATGCAATATACACGAACAATTTTGTAAAAGAGAGAGAGAGAGACGATTGTCGCGTCAAAACTTCTTTCCAGAAAGGAAAATTGCCACGAGGTAGTTAATAATTCAGGATGCGCCCATGGGATTCTCGCGGCGTATCCTGGAGATACCTGGGGCCTGCACCGGGTAGATTTGCCGAGGAACCAAGGAGGAAAAAAAGATTGGAAGAAAAATAATGAAGGGTCTCTCCCCGCGTCGTCGGCGCAGCAGGCTTCGTTCAAGGTTTTCGAAAGTTCGCCCTCTTCGTCTGGCAATCGAGCCTCGAGAGAGCGATATCCTTGGATGCTGGGTTTATTTGCTCTGGCAGCTGTTCCCTATAACTTGGCGCGCGGTTTCGAGGGTTCCGAAACGAGGGTTCTAGAAAGGATAGCGAGGATTTCAAAGGGCCTCTCTTCTCCTTCTCCCTCGCGCAGCCGAAAAGCCAAGGGGCGTCAGTAGAAAGGCCCTTTCACAGGCCTGAGCGTATCCGGTCAGACTCGACCTTTCGGGTTTCCTCTCCCTTCCCGCTCAGCCAAGGCTCGACACGTTTGTGGTTTTTTTTTTGTGACGCCGTTGTCCGAGCGCACCCTGGACTTGGGCTGTCGCGTTTTTCTACTCTCTAGCCCCCTGTCGTACGAAGCCTCTGTCGCTGGTCGCGCCGTAAATTTCACGGCTGCAACTCAGCTGCGAATTGGCTGCGGTCGAGGGCGACAAATTTCCCGAAAAGACAAGCGATCCAGACCCGGGAACAGAGAATAGCGAGAGAATGGGGAGAGAGGGAGGGGGAGAGAGAGAGAGAGAGAGAGAGAGAGAGAGAGAGAGAGAGAATGAATCTCCGGAAGCGGGCAAATAGCCAGCGTAAATCATGACGCGGGAACGGGAAGCAACGATCGATAGAATTGATCAGCAGCGACGAACCAGCGATTCCAGAGATTTTATCGGTAAAACATTCGCCACTTCTTTCTTAAATTACTCTATGTTCGATGGTAGTAAGAAAAGCGAAAAGTATTTAAAATATGTTTTCAAATTTGCATTAACAGACTGAACAGTCGGATGCGTTGGCTAAAAGTTCCAACTGATTATTTTGTACAGTTCGTACTTGCCAGAGGATAGAGCTTGGTCTGAAGGACCTGTTCAAAAACCTTCTACCTGAGCAGGTAGGTAGAATCGAGAGCGGTCAGAGACCTTGACCCTGGACGAAGCCCCGACGGGTTGAATCAACTTACGAGAATCTGTCCCGAAACTGCTGCATCATGTAACATCGTTGATTTCGAAGCTGAGATTTACCGAATACAACTTGACATCTACTATAACATTTGGTCGAAACTATTTTGTCTAAACGATTCCGGCCATAGTTTATTCGATGAAAAATTAATTTAACAAAATTATTATTATCCCATTTTCAATTTAATTCATCATACAATTGTCCTTTGATTCCAAGAATTACCTTCGACGTTCAAATCGTCATTCTGAATATTCTTTTTTTTTTATAAAAAAGAGTGTCGCAAGATACACCCCCTGCTATTATCTCGAGTCAACGGGGAGGAAGAGGATGGAAGAGGGATAAGAGATAATCGAGTCCTAACCTGAAATCTTTTGGCCCATGTTTAAGGCCCGATAAGGGGACCGATGGTGATGCCGGTGCTGGTGACGGTGTTCGAGGCACTGCTTGCCAAGGGGTAGCTTGTGCCTGAGGTGCCTGCTGACGCCAGTGATGGTGGTCGTGTTCGTTGTGGTGGTCGTGGTGACGAGGTGATGATAATGGTGATGGTGATGGTGGTGGTGGTGGTAATGGCTGATGGTCGGTGGCGTAGCAGGCACCGCGCCACCGTCTATTCCTCCTCCACCGCCGCCTCCTCCTCCTCCTCCGCCGCGACCTCCGCCGCCCCTACCGGGGCTGAGAGAGAGAGAGAGAGAGAGAGAGAGAGAGAGAGAGAGAGAGAATGAATCTCCGGAAGCGGGCAAATAGCCAGCGTAAATCATGACGCGGGAACGGGAAGCAACGATCGATAGAATTGATCAGCAGCGACGAACCAGCGATTCCAGAGATTTTATCGGTAAAACATTCGCCACTTCTTTCTTAAATTACTCTATGTTCGATGGTAGTAAGAAAAGCGAAAAGTATTTAAAATATGTTTTCAAATTTGCATTAACAGACTGAACAGTCGGATGCGTTGGCTAAAAGTTCCAACTGATTATTTTGTACAGTTCGTACTTGCCAGAGGATAGAGCTTGGTCTGAAGGACCTGTTCAAAAACCTTCTACCTGAGCAGGTAGGTAGAATCGAGAGCGGTCAGAGACCTTGACCCTGGACGAAGCCCCGACGGGTTGAATCAACTTACGAGAATCTGTCCCGAAACTGCTGCATCATGTAACATCGTTGATTTCGAAGCTGAGATTTACCGAATACAACTTGACATCTACTATAACATTTGGTCGAAACTATTTTGTCTAAACGATTCCGGCCATAGTTTATTCGATGAAAAATTAATTTAACAAAATTATTATTATCCCATTTTCAATTTAATTCATCATACAATTGTCCTTTGATTCCAAGAATTACCTTCGACGTTCAAATCGTCATTCTGAATATTCTTTTTTTTTTATAAAAAAGAGTGTCGCAAGATACACCCCCTGCTATTATCTCGAGTCAACGGGGAGGAAGAGGATGGAAGAGGGATAAGAGATAATCGAGTCCTAACCTGAAATCTTTTGGCCCATGTTTAAGGCCCGATAAGGGGACCGATGGTGATGCCGGTGCTGGTGACGGTGTTCGAGGCACTGCTTGCCAAGGGGTAGCTTGTGCCTGAGGTGCCTGCTGACGCCAGTGATGGTGGTCGTGTTCGTTGTGGTGGTCGTGGTGACGAGGTGATGATAATGGTGATGGTGATGGTGGTGGTGGTGGTAATGGCTGATGGTCGGTGGCGTAGCAGGCACCGCGCCACCGTCTATTCCTCCTCCACCGCCGCCTCCTCCTCCTCCTCCGCCGCGACCTCCGCCGCCCCTACCGGGGCTGCCGCCCCCGCCGCCCCCGCGGCCGCTGCCTCCGTTACCTAGACCGCCTCCGGTACCGCCAGTCGCGCCGTTTCCGCGGCTACCGCCCCCGCTCACGCAACGATGCGCTTTGTACCTGCAACGCGAACACAGTGGAAAAACCTGGTTAGTTCTAATTGTCCTCCTACCTCCAAGTTAAAGGACGTGTGCCTGTATGCGTGCGACACAGGAATCGATTTCTGTCGGGGAAAATGCTACCATACGGCCGACCTCGGGTTTTATAGACTTATAGGGTGACCCGACTTCTTCCTCCGAAATGGGCTATAACATTGCTATTGAATTCTCTTTACTCGATCGTAGTGGTAATGTTCTTACAACGATTCGGAACCCGATTAATTTTCCTCGTTTGGAAATTTCCCATTGCGCAATATTCTTTTACGGTACGATACGGTTTTGAATATGATAAAACAACTCAGTATTCGATTTCCTCGAATTAATCGTAGACCGCGATTACCGGGCGATAAAGAAGACTTCATCGATGTAAATTTCGAGGTCTGCGGCGAGCCGATAACGCGAGGGAATCACATTTTATCGTCGAGCAGCGGAAAGGAGGGCGATTTCGAGAAGTCACCATGCAAAATCAAACCCTCCTGCCTTATTTCATTCGTGTTGTAAATCCACTTTATAGCGAAGCCATTGTATCAGCGTGCAATTAAAGGTTAACCCAGGCATGTCAACGGTGTCGCGCACGCGACATGACCTTCAGCGGAAGCCTAGGTGGGGATGCGTTAAGTAGTGTGAGCGCATTATGGCCCGCTGAGTTACTGTGACTATTGCGCGAGGTGGGGAGAGCTATTAGTAGTAGGGAGAAATGAGTTGGACATGCCTGGGTTAACCCATCGGCTGGTCAGTTAATTAGAACCGGTGGTTATAAAGGAAAAGACACGTATACGTATTAAAAGCTCACTTGGAATCTGTCTTGTCCAGTTCCAACTGGTCGACGGATTTTTCTTTTTCATTGTGTTTTTTCTCGCGGCTGCTCTTCACCAGTTGCATGTTAAAAAGCGGGACAAGATGCGAAAGAAACAAACGACGAGAGTTAACGGGGACGCGATTCAGAGGATATATAAAAGGGGAGAGACAAAACACGGTTGCCGCCGCGTGGTCGCTCCAATTTTTCTCTTCTATCCACCGACCCCGTCGTCGTCTTTGTGACGTAACGGCTGACACGTGACTTGTACCCGTATCCCAGCTCGTTTCCGGCCACGGAGACCGGACACTGACATCCTGGAGCCCCACCCGAGGTTATTACCGCGGTGGAAAAAAAATCTAAGGAAATCCGTGCCGCGGAATGGGAGATTTCAAGTTGGACCAAAAAAAATTACTATTTTGGGAAAAGTTACTCGGCGATTTCTATGTAAATTGGTCTAAATGCTATTTGTCCTCTCGAGAGGCAGGGAGCTATAGCGATTCGTTAGGAGTTCTAGAGCTCCAAATTAGGTTTTAGTTCCGCTCTCGGGACAAACATTCTCTCCATCCTCGAAACTCTCTCTCAAGGGGCTTGAGAGCTCTCTCGAGAAACTGCGTCATTGTTAAACAGAAGGAAAAAATCTGTATCGCTTCCGTAGGAGCTGTAACGATAACATTTATTATATACAATTTCGAGACTTGTATTTTCAGTTTACATTTGTATCTGTATCTGAACACGTACCTCTGAGATAGAATCGAGGAGAAGGATGAAATGCTAAACTTTCAAGTCTGTGTATACATGTACTGATATAATCTGAAGGATCATCTTAGCTCATAATCAATACAAACAAGTAGCTGGCTAACAATAAACAAACTCTTAAGAAGCAGCCATCCATTTCGATCTATTAAGTGCGAATGATATTTCTTTTCATACGTGTATTATATAAATGCACATAATCTGCAGAGCATGAAAACTATAATTTTTAAAGGATGAACGAATCAGAATATGCGTGTCATGTTTTAAATTGATTTTATATAATCTGCATAAAAATGTCTTCGTTGAACGAGAACGAGTAAAATGGAGATCGTGCGAACGGTATCTCGAAATTGGAAAAGAAAATCGTGTTGCGTCTAGCTTACGAAATGGGCAATTAATCACTGGCGGATCGAAGGAGCGAGCCGACTCGTTAGAATCGCGCGAAACAAACAGGAGACGCGGTCGAGAAAGCTCGAATTCAATTTGCTTCGCGTGGAAGGAGGCCTCCTCCGTCACGGACGCTGCGTCGGGACTTCGTGGTCCGTTAACGGACGTTCGTCTCCGTCAGCCACGCCGGCTAATTCCGAACAATATTACGGGGCCGTCCGGAACGGGAGAAAGTAGTAACAGGCGTTGCGTCATCGCCAAGGTTTAAAGAGCTCCGTTACGCTCGCTCGCGTCGGGCCACTTTCGCGCCGCGTGAAAACGCGCCGGAAAACCGGATCCGACCGCGGAAGTGCGGCTCGAGTAACAGAAACGAGATTAGAAGAAAATCCTACAGATAACCGCTCTTCCTTCCTTCAACGTTGCTTCTGGGTCGTTATTGAATTCTGGGTTAAGTTCGGGTCACTGGGTTTCTCTGATCTGGACTTCGCTTAGATGTGACTGGAACGAACCCCATAAAAAAGATTCTTCGCCTTGTGTTGCATAAGGAAATACAGAATTTTCCTACAAATCATCTTTTAGTATATTGTAAAATAAGATAGGATATGGGCAAATGATTGATTACGGTCCAATACGTTGCCAACTGCATCTTTCAGAAACAATCCCATATCCACACGTCCAATACATATTCTTCTACTTTTTCGTCCCTGCTGAGTCCACGGGACGTCGAGCAGATTTCAAGAACGAATTGTACACAGGGCGCATCGAATAGCATTCGATTTCGAGAGGAAATACTAGAGTTCGGTCGTGGAAAGTACGCTGGAGGCGGCCGACCGGCGGTATTGATCCGCGGGGGTCACCTCTGCCCCACCTCGACATGGGTCCAACCCCCAAATCCTCTACCATCCCCCTGGTGGCTCCCCTAGCAGCGACAACCGCCGTCGACAGAGGGGCAGAGAGGGTTCGAACCACCCCTCGACTGCAAAATAGACCGACAAAAATGCTACGGGGAAAATCCAGCGGCTGCCTCTCCCTATTCGATGTCTCGAAGCTTGAAACGAGATACGTTTTCACCTGTTCTTGCCCGGATTAACAGGTTTACGGGCCTGGTTTTCGCGGACAAGTGTCGAAGCTTTTCGAAAACCTGCTTTCAGAGTACGCGACAGACCAAAAGCTTTCAGAACACCCCCACGTAGCTGTACCAATTTGCTAGCAACCGAGTTTTTCTATAGATGCTTCTCGACCAATTATTTAAATTCTAGATTTTCATTTACCTAATTGCTTGGATATCTCCTAAGGCACGAACACAAATAGAAATGGAACTCTTTTGTAGATTCTATCAATTACCTCAATTCCCAAAATATGTACCTAACAGAATTACACGAATTACATTCGGTTTCCCTCTCTTTACAGATTCTGTTAACAATTATCTAAATTCCCAAAATATGTATCTAATAGAACTACACGTAATTGCATCGATTTTTCCTAAACCAAGAGTACACTTACAATTAGAAACGGAACTTGCCATTTCAAATAAATTATACCTAGAACCGTAGATCGAGGGAAACAAACTTGGTTCTACTATTAGCCACACGTCACGCGACGGGCGTAAAGCGTGATAGACGCGTCGTCGGAGGGTGGTAACTCGCGGGGCGGTTTTCCTCGTGCGTTATCGGCGAGGAGACGCGCGAGAGCCGGATCGATCAAACACGAGTCACGGGCACGGGGAGCCGTGCACGGCACTGGCGACTCGTGTGAGCCGGTTGCCAACCGGTACTCAGCGCCGGCGAGCAGATGTCAATTGCGTTCAATGATAGCGAAACGACGCTGCATTTACGCGCGTCGAAAGGTCTTCTCACATCTATACTTAGTTACTCTGTCAATACTCGCATACTCTCCGTCGCGGGAAATGACGGGGTTGATACAAAAATAAGTGAAACGTGCGAGGCGATCAAATAATTTAATGCTTCTGTTAAATTTCATTTTCATGTAGTGTTGCCTCTAACTACAATTAGATTAAATGTTAAAAGCATGTATCTATGTAGACATGCATTAATTTTATGTCTGGTGCATTTGCAGGATTTTATTATAATGATATTGTGTAAGATTGTACGATAGGGAATCTAATTTATGATAGGTTTTTGTGCTGACTATACACTTTCGGATGACGAGGATTTGTGAGGGGAAATTAATCTAGTAATGGACGCCAGAGATGCTTCTAATCCCTTTAATTGGAGTATTTAAAACGTGGCTATCAGGAAATGGAATTTAAACTCAAATACCAGGTTAAGCCGGATAAAATACACATTCTCGTGTTTGTTCATAATTACAAATTAAAAGAAAGTTTGTATCACAGGGAATTACTTAAAGCTAATAAATGTGCGATTCCATGCGGATCATCTGACCGAATTCTTTATCTCATAACCGAATAACGTGAATTCCGTAAGATTTTGAGACACAGAAGACGCGGCCCGCCGCTTGATGTCTGTCGCAGACAGGAAGTATATTTGCATGAGAAAAGGATGAATCGACACGGCCGGTTTCTCGCGTCGGTTCGCGCGGTTTAACTAGCAAAAATAACGGCCGTTTCGCGCTGGCTTAGTTGGCCGGCTTAGAAGCCGGAACAGCTGACGGCCAGCCAGCAACACCTGTTCCCCACATCTGCCTCGACAAAGCCCTTCTCCTTCGATAGAAGAGACCAACGTATGTTTACCACGCAGCGAGCTCTCCTTCTTTTGTCAACGGCCTATTCTTTATACGTTTTCGCGACCTTTTAAGGATTTCGTCTTGGAACCACACCCTCTCCCCCAGTTTCAGAAACAATGCCTCTCCCGCGGCTCGATCGCGATTCCTTGAACATTAAGGCGGTTATCGCTTTATTCTAATCTGCATGTAGTCATCGTGACTCCCTTAGAAATTCGTTCGTTCACTCTGACAGACTTAAACGTGTTACGATTGTTCTATTCTATCTAATAACATCAGTTCTCGTTAAGTAATTGCGACACGCAGCGTTCAACTCGTCAAAA